TATTTTATTTTTTAAAATGTTTTTTAAATTTTATTTATTTTTATTTTATTTATTTTTTATTTCTTTAATTTACATCCAAGTTAGTTAGCATATAGTGCAACAGTTATTTCAGGAGTAGATTCCTTAATGCCCCTTACCCATTTAGCCCACCTCCCCTCCCACCACCCCTCCAGTAACCCTCTGTTTGTTTGGTTTTCTATTTTAATCTTAGAATATTTTCTAGTGATTTCCTGTTAGTTTGACACTCTAAATTTTATTTGGTGGTCCCTGACTAACCACCACGATTCTCTGCCCTACATCTTGTATTGGGTTTAGACCATTTCACTGTGTCTGTATATTTTCCTAGTGTTAAGAATTGTCCACGTGTTACACACATCCTGAATTGGCCTACACCTTCTAGCCTGTTTCATTTTTCACATTTATCATCACGCATTTTGCTGCCTTGGCAAAGATCGAGAGATGAGCAAAGTCAGCAGCATAAATTATCTTAAATGTAGGGCATTATCTTAAAGTTGTTGAAAGTTTAAAAAAAATAATGAATAAAAGAAAACTTAAAAGTATGACTAGCAAAGTAGAGACAACTAAAATATATATAGAAGCATAGATAACCAACTTGTAGTGGAGGGAGAAGAAACCACCAGTATACGGCGTTCCAAAACTGGTGAATGGAGGTTTTAAGTATTTTCCACAGTTGGCGTGTTAAAAAAGTATATTTTACATTGGCATATCTTTGTAGTCTTATTCAAAGAGATACTAGCGTAAATTTAAAAATGCGTTGCTATGACACAGGTTTTATACCATTATTTAGTACTGGAGTTTTGAAAGTAATCTTAAAAACAGGCAGTTTATACTGATGCTAATTTATGTTACTAATTTTTGTGTTTGCATCTAAGCTAGAAAAGCAACTTGTAGGCTTGTTTTATTCAATACTTAATTTCCTTGAAACAGGAATTTTTATCTTCCTTTTTGTCTGTAGGGGTGTCGTTGCTCTTCAGACACTGCGAAAATTGGTTGAACTTACTCAGAAGCCAGTTCATCAGCTCTTTGATTACATTTGTGGTGTGAGCACAGGTAATTATTGGCATATGGAAGCCGTGCCTCCCAGCAGTATGCATTTAAAATTCTGGTTATTCTCTGAAGTGGTGGGTATTAGTTTTATGTTTTAATGATGGATAATCCTTTGATTGGCTTAATGAACTTTATAAAATGCTTATTGGGAGTAAGGTAACATTCAGAAGTGGTTTTTAATGTGCTTTCCTAATACGTTTTAAATAAGCCACAGTGACAAATACAAATTACGAATTATTGCTTTATGGTGTAGTCACCTCAAGGAAAGTGATAAAGTGGAAGGAAGGTAGGGACCAAAATTGTACTTGAACCAATGGAGTGTTAAAGATGGATACGATTTTATTTTTGGGGGAGACGTGTCCCTCTGTGAGGAAATTGCTTTTTATAACATTTTTTTGTCTGGTTGTTTAAAACCGGAATTTAAATTGATAAACGTGAGAATGTGTGTTTTTTAAAGCCTGCTTCTTAATATTGCTAGGTACATTTAAAGTTGTAGTTTCATATGTGTATAGAATAAGTTGGCAACTTAGGATATGATTGTTACTGAATAATTTCGTAGTTTTCCTTGAGTCACCATCAGATAAATTTTTGTTTTTTCTGTTGGTTTTTCTGTTTCCTTCCATGAGCTCTGTCACCCATACATCCACCCGTGCCCACCCCATGTATACATTAAGCCCCTCGGGATACACATAACTATTGTTTACCCCTGAGGTAACACTCAAGAACTATTAGGATTGTGGATCCTTGCTGTGTATTTTACTGTTTGACCTGATAATTTCTCACTTCGTGTTAGTTGATCTTCATAGGCTTTTATTTCTATTTCTTTTTTCTCATTCTCTTGAATTAAAATAGTACTAAAGACTACTAGTAACAAAATCAAATGACTTCTCCACATTACGTGTGTCCAGTATGCTGACACATATATTTGAGCCCACATATTTGAGCTCACATATTTGAGCCCAATATGCTCAAAGGGCATGTTAATTAATGTTCAGTTTTGAAAGCTTAATGAGCAGGTAAAGGAATGATTCAAACACATAAGGAATCGGTGATTCTTATGATGTTCCATGGAATGAACACTAATTCCCCAAGATAATAGGTTACAGAAAGTTGTTGGGTTATAGGAAGTTATTATAGGTTTCTTTACAGAGGGACTTCAGAGATATTTTAGTATATTAAAAATGCATTGGGGACACCTGGGTGGCTCAGTCGGTTGAGTGTCCAACTCTTGGTTTTGGCTCAGGTCATGATCCCAGGGTTGTGGGATCGAGCTCCTCTGCAGGCTCCGCTTTGGGTGCGAGCTCCTCTGCAGGCTCCGCGTTGAGTGCAGTAAAAGTGCGTTGGGACTCTCAGAATAGGAAAATAATATTTATTTCCCAATTTGATTTAACTGTGGAAACTTTTCCTAAAGAGACATTTCCTAGGGCTAATGTTCTTTGACACTTGTTTTGCAGCTTTACCCTGACCATTTCTGTTAAATTTTGTAGTAGTTTTTAGCAATTCACACATTTAAACAAGCAAACTTCCTGCTTTGGCACCACTGTTAGTAGGTGGATGCTCAATAAAGAGAATTTTAAATCACAGAGATTCATCATCCATGAAGCAGGGTATCCGTTTATGTGATATGTACATTTCTGTATTTATCATGATCTGTCTTTTCCATTGTCTCTTCTGGCTTACGTTAACCTTAACTTCAAATACAGTGCTTATAGTTTTCCTTTCTTCTTTCCATTTTGTATATTCTAACGTAGAAATTTTCTTTGCACTTAGAATTTTTATAAACTTAATAAATATATTTAATTTAAAGGTAATATCCTTACTGGTTCAGTAAAATTTAGTTTTAAAATAATCTGCTCATGTTTATAGTAGCTGTACTTGAAAGGAACTTAATTTTTGGCAGGTTATTTCTTGTGTTAGAGATTTTCTGCAAATTGAAAAAATTAGTTTCTATTATATAGTGATGCCATACAATTTAATTTAAAACATAAGCTGTTTTATCTTTTACTAGAATAACACTGAATATAATAAAATATTTAAAACTCATTATGATAACGAGTTGCTGTTTTTATTCTGTTTATAATGTCAAAACAAACTGTCATTCTGTATCGGTCTTTACCCCCAACTCCCCAAAGCTTTCTCGCCTATTTTTCTCCTTAATTCAGGTTTAGGCCAGTTAGATACACTAGGTGGCAGTGTGTCCTGCCACGTGCAGCTAGGATATGAAATCGGCTATTTAAAAGGATATCCCAGAGACCTAATTACTATTTTTTTAAATTTTTTAATGTTTATTTTTGAGAGAGAGAGAAAGAGAGAGCTAGCAGGGGAGGGGAAGAGAGAGAGGGAGACAGAGAATCCAGAGCAGGCTCCATGCTATCAGTGCAAAGCCCGATGTGGGGCTCGAACTCATGAACCGTGAAATCGTCACCTGAGCTGAAGTGGGATGCGCAACTGACTGAGCAACCCAGGTGCCCCGAGACTTAATTTCTTTCATTATTTTAATTCCCTGGACCAACTTGAAGGAGTAATTATTTTAATGAATTGTTAAGTTTTAAGGAATCTATGAAGGTTATAAAGAACATCATCGACCACAACTTAATTGTGTGTTATTTGATTTAATGTAAAACAACCATTTTTTATATTTTAAAATTGATCCTCCTCATCATTGGTTGACATTTAGTCCTTACTGAGGCCAGGTAAAGACCTTTACTGTGTTAATCCTGATATAAAAACATGTATACATTTTTAATTTTTTTAATTTATTTTTAGTTATCATCTTTAGTTATTATACATTTTTTAGTTATCTTTATTTTGTAGATGAAGAAATCAGGGCTCTGGCAGGTTAAGTAGTTTGTCCCAAGTGACACAGGGAGTGTTGGAGCTAGAATTTTAACCAAATCTGTGAGTTGGGAAGTCTTATAAGTACTGTAATGTCAATGTCGGAAAAACCAAGCATTCTTTCTTCCAGGTGCTATATTAGCATTCATGTTGGGATTGTTTCATATGCCCTTGGATGAATGTGAAGAACTGTACCGAAAATTAGGATCCGATGTGTTTTCACAAAATGTCATTGTTGGAACAGTCAAAATGAGTTGGAGCCATGCATTTTATGACAGTCAAACCTGGGAAAATATTCTTAAGTAAGTTACAATTATTTTTTAATGTTTGATTATATAAATAACATGTGCACATAATTAAAAAAGAATATTAAATTATTGGTACAGTTGGTTAGAGATGACCACTGTTACTATTTTGGTGTGTAATTCCAGTCACCATTTTTTTTGAGTTCATGTGTGAGATTCGCATGTAGAAGTTTCAATTCTTTCTAAGAATTGAGACCATCTTATAGATTGACGTGTTTGCACCTTGTTTTTACTTAACATATTAGTCTTTCTCAAGTCATTAACAAATATTCTTCTAAAACATTAATAATTTTTAAACATTTTTTCCAGGGTACTACAAAGGCTTTATACTCACTTTTCCAAAAATACAAGCATAAAATTGAAACCTTTAAAATCACCCACAAGACCATTCAGAGCTGTGGACCTTATATTTTCTTCTAGTCTTTTTTTCTAGACTGTATACATTCTCATACGTATTTTATATAGCAGAGATTATATTGTAGTTTCAATTTTATATCCTTTCCCTATTTCCAACTTTGTGAAAATCTCTTGACAAATTTTTAAAGACTATGCTCCACAGTGTGATGGTGCCATATTTTCTGAACCATTTGCGTTTAGGATATTTATGTCTTAATTTATTGTGATTATGAACAGTGCTTCAGTATGCATATCTATATAATAAGACTATAAAATAGACTGTAAGCCAGTTTCTCTGTTATGAAGTGTTTTTTCCTTATGTTACTCGTTAGGGTATCTTCATATATTTGCTTATTGCTGTTTCAGTGAAGGTTCTTCAAAGCCTTCCTTATTTTTAATCACAGCATTAATGACCTTTCTAAGTGTGATTAGTTGCTTTTTTCTTTCCCTACTTTTTCACTTGGCTTGTGCTGCAAAGCATACCACTCCAAAACTTAATGACTTATTTTTAAAAATTTTTTTTAATGTTTAGTTTTGAGAGAGAGAGAAACAGAGTGCAAACAGTGGAGGGGCAGAGAGAGAGAGGGAGACACAGAATCCGAAGCAGGCTCCAGGCTCTGAGCTGTCAGCACAAAGCCTGACACAGAGCTCGAGCTAACAAGCCAAGAGATCATGACCTGAGCCAAAGTAGGATGTCTAACTGACTGAGCCACCCAGGTGCCCCAAAACATGGTGGTTTAAAACAACCTGATTCTGTGGTGTGGTGATTTCTTCTGTTCTTGCCTGACTGGACTCACACTCACACCACGGCTGAGATGGCTCCCGTGCCGATCTCTCTCTACGCGGTCACTCTCATTCTGGACTTCATCCCATTAGAGTGGTCTGAGTTTCAAAAGGGCAAGCCCCAGTGCATGAATACTTATCAAGCCTCACTTTAATGGCATGTTTGCTGATGTCCCCTTGACCACAGCCACTGAAACCTAAGGTCTCTGGGAAGGGACTGTATACGAGGATATGGACATCAAGAAGTACCATTCACTGGGGGGCCATTATTGTTACCTATCACATCTGCTCTCTGGCTTTTTTTTTTTTTTTTTTTTTTTTTTCTGAGATCATTTTGTGTTATTTTAGGGACACTTCAATTATACCATCAGTAGAATCTACGAATGGTGACTTTTTTTTTTTTGTATTTTCACATCCATCTGAAATAAGCAATTAGTGTTCCTGACTTTCTTTTTGAATTTATGTTCATAACTTCACTAAAGCATATTACCTCTGTTTATAAAATCAAGGTTCAAAAAAAAAAAAAAAAACAGAAAAACAAATGTGAACTTTGCTTAAACTGTAAAAGCAGCATGTTCCCAGGATCTCTGTCCCAATTTTACAGCGAGATTTCTATGAAAAGATTATTAGAAGAATACAATTGAATTGGTCTTCATGCAGATGAAACCTATAGATCAGGTTCGGAAAGACAAAGATCTTGTCCGCTTTAGAAAGTATTTTACATCAATATTTAGAAAAGATTATACAGGGTAGATCACCACCTAATTTGTGCGTACTACCTACATGTGAAATTCACTAATACTGTATTTGGAAATCATGAATATTGTTTGAAAAAAAATGTCATCAGAAACATGTTTTTTCTTTTTGAGGCAAGTTGGCAGAGAACATAGTCCTTATATTCAATAGAGGGGAAAATTACCTATTTTTAAGCCAGGGAAAAAATGTGCCCTGAAATAAAACTCCCTTATAACGGAATTGTGGGAATTGTTGCCCAAGGACAATATCTGTAATGTTGCGGTAATTCAGGTGCCAACTCAGATGATTTCCAAAGCATTTTTTAGGAGTGACTTTGGCTCTGTATTGCTAAAACAGGTTTAAAGTCTAAATGCTCTGCTCTGGTTTTCAGATCACTCTGTAACTACGCTATATACTTAGGCAGCTTTATCTCAGCACAGTTCCTCTATATTGTCAGGAGGACCCTGAAGACAACAGGTTTATTCTGCCTCCGTGCCTTTACCCCTTCCACATCCTGGCATTGGATGTGTTTCCTTGCCATCCCCTGCTGCCCTTCTCAAGCCACCCCTCCTTGCAGCCTGGGCTGATTCCTCCCCATACTATAGATACCAGCAGTTGAAATCAGAGCTTAACAAATAACTATATATTGTTTTGTGTGCACTAATTATACTATAAGGCACCTAGAGGTGCCTAATTCATTATATTTCTTATTTTTATATTTCTTGTTTGTCGCTCATAGTACTTTGACAAAGCCCTGAGCAAACAGTGTTTTCATATTGTGTGTCCTTGATGTTAGGAGATAAAATCATTTTGATATAATTTAATTTTCTCCTTTATAAAGGGATAGAATGGGATCCTCACTAATGATTGAAACGGCAAGAAACCCTACATGTCCTAAGGTAAGTTTAGAGTCTTAAAGATAATACCAATTTGGAATTCAAGGTCAGGTTGAAAGCACTTACTCTGGAGGCCCTTTCTCTATTAAGGGAAACATTTCTTAGGAACCTCTTTTAATAGATTATATTAATTTCTTACATCTTGGGCCATTCTGTGAAGATACAGGATGTGTTCATTAGACCTCTTCTAAACAAAAATTTTTTTTTAATGTTTACTTATTTTTGAGAGGGAGACAGAGTGTGAGCAGGGGAGGAACAGAGAGAGGGGGAGACGCAATATCCGAAGCAGGTTCCAGGCTCTGGGCTGTTAGCACAGGGCCCAACATGAGGCTCGAACCCCACAGACCATGAGATCATGACCTGACCGAAAGTCAGACGCTTAACCAACTGAGCCACCCAGGCGCCCCGATAGACATCTTCTATATCCAGTAAGAGTACAACAGAAGTTTAAGAACATGAAAGACTAGGACTAAAAATAAGGAGGAATTATTTTATCATAAGGTTAATCAAATCTAGTGATTTAAGAAAGTCTGGCATTTCCTCCTCTAAGATTTTTAAAAGAAATTTTATATGCCTGTAGATATAGGTTAACATACGAATGGAACCTAAGTTTTAAAAGTGTTAATGCCACTAGGATATGTCTCAGTGTGGCTGCTCTTTTTATTTGTTTTGTTTGAAACCCAGTGGTCTCAGTATTGCTTGAGTTCTGTGTTCTTTAATAATACTTGTTATTTGAAGAAGGAATAGGATTTATGTATTTCAGAATCCCTTGCAGCTTGTATTTATTCTTTGGATAATAATCTGTAACCATGAAAAATCAAATACAGCTCCCTTTATTTCTCTTGCTTATTTATTTTTAAAAAAAAAAATTTTTTTTTAACGTTTATTTATTTTTGACACAGAGAGACAGAGCATGAACGGGGGAGGGTCAGAGAGAGGGAGACACAGAATCGGAAACAGGCTCCAGGCTCTGAGCTGTCAGCACAGAGCCTGACGCGGGGCATGAACTCACAGACCGCGAGATCGTGACCTAAGCCG